GTAATTGGTAATTGTAATGAATGATTACTATTCAGTAGTTTTAAACATCAGTTATTCAAAACTGTAATTTACTTTCTGGCTGGCCTTTTTTCTCTTATCAGTCTTTTTATACAGATATTTTTCCAGTTTCCTCTGGCTGCAAACTCAATTTTGATTGTAATTTCCTGACCAAATATAGTACCTCTGCTTTGGTCCTAGAAAGATGTGAAAAATGCACCCATCCTAACTAAATCAATACTACCATAGGAAAAGATGAAAAAACAAAGCAGGTTACAAGAAGACAGAAAAATAAGATGGCGTGACAGGTGCCTGGGCATCAGCTTTCCTTTCACTCCCAAAGATGAGAAAAAATGATAAATCCTGTAATCACAGATATAGGAACCCCTAGAACTTCTGTTGGCAAGATTAAGGATGACAAATAGCTTCAGACTTTTCAGACTAGCAGTGTCACAGTTTACAACTTACTGACATTTTCAGTTTTCTACATGCAACCGTAATAGCTAACAACTATATTAAAAAAAAAAAAACAAAACAAAACAACCCAAAACAACCAAAACAAACATCAACCATGGGGGATACAAAACTCTGAAAAGGGACAGCTTTCATAGCATTCTGCACCTTCAAAGGACAGGTTTATTTGGCTGTGATCATTAGCAAAACTAAAGACTGACTTTTTCTGGTAGAACAAAGATTAAGGGGGGAGCAGATGCTCCTTCTCAGCCCTTTGACTGCAACCAAAAATTTCCAAGTCAATTAATATGACATGAAAAAAGCCAACAAGTATGCTTATCATTTCTGCAAGCACAGGCAGCAGGGACTCCCATTCTGGTGGGAAGTCCAAGCCTTTCATAGAATCATAGAATGGTTTGGGTTGGAAGGGACCTTAAAGATCATCTAGTTCCAACCCCCCCGCCATCAGCAGGGACACCTTCCACTAGACCAGGTTGCTCAAAGCCTCATCCAACCTGGCCTTAAACACTTCCAAGGAGGGGGCATCCATGACTTCTCTGGGCAACCTGTTCCAGTGTCTGACCACCTTCACAGTGAAGAATTTCTTCCTAATATCTAATTTAAACCTACCCTCTTTCACCTTAAACCCATTTCCCCTTGTTCTGTCACTACCTGCCCTTATGAAAATTCCCTCCCCAGCTTTCTTGTAGCCCCTTCAGGTACTAGAAGGCTGTTATAAGGTCTCCCCGGAGCCTTCTCTTTTCCAGGTTGAACAGCCCCAACTCTCTCAGCCTGTCCTCATAGTAGAGGTGCTCCACCACTCGGATCATCCTTGTGGCCTCCTCTGGACTCATTCTAACTGCTCCATGTCTTTCTTGTGTTGGGGGCTCCAGAACTGGATGCAGTACTCCAGGTGGGGACTTACGAGAGCGGAGTACAGAGGGAGAATCACCTCCCTCCACCTGCTGGCCACGCTTCTCTTGATGCAGTCCAGGATACGGTTGGTTTTTCCAAACAGCTACAAATTAGGGGTTGGCTTCCCTGTCAGCATCACTCAGGAAAAGAAGCAGCCCAGTTCTCAACTGTCTTTTACAGTCTACAAAGGCAAATATCAAATACAGTAATAAAGTTTACTTTCCTGAATGTCTGGCAAGATGCTTCATGCTTTATAGTTAGATTTTTCAGGATACTACAATTTGTTTTGCCATGATTAAAATATTTTCAAAAAGAAGGATTTTGACAACAGGATCTAGCGATGGCCTGCTTCACACTAATTGTTCCACAGCAAGAGCTTAGATTCTTTAAAAATTTTCTCTTCTCTCAAAAATCATTTCAGTTCCATATTGACAACCTTACCTCACCCAAATCCAAGAGCTGCAGCAATACAAGCCAAGATGAATCGGTTTAAAAGCAAAACTGAAGGACAGTTATAGAATCATAGAATGGCTTGGGTTGGAAAGGACCTTAAAGATCATCTAGTTCCAACCCTCCTGCTGTGCACAGGCTTGTCAACCACTAGATCAGGCTGCCCAGGGCCCCATCCAGCCTGGCTTTGAATTCCTCCAGGGATGGGGCAGCCGTAACTTCTCTGAGCAACCTGTTCCAGTGCCTCGCCACCCTCTGGGGGAAAAAATTCTTCCTAATATCTAATCTAAATCTCCCCTCTCTTAGTTTAAACCATTTCCCCTTGTCCTGTCACTGTCTGCCCATGTGAAAACTTGCTCTCTCTCCTATTTATAAGCTCCCTTCGAGTACTGGAAGACTGCAATGAGGTCTTCCAGGAGCCTTTTCTTCTCCAAGTCCATACTGTCTTCTCTGTGAAAATATGGTTTTAATTTTCCTCGTGATGCTTAACTTTTTTTTTTTTAATATGGTTGAAGAATTTCTTCTATTCACTCAGAAGAAAATATTTTAATTGGTTTTTTGAGTGTAAAATTTACTGCAATTGCATTTCTAGTGATTTAATACTGTTAGATTCTTTAAAAATATCTATCACATCTCAAATTCTTCAAATGCGAAACAATTTTTTATTTGAATAGAGATGGCAGTTAACTAGTTATTCATAATGAGTCTTTCTCTGTTCTGTTTGAAGTACAAAATGTTTACACTTGTGACGTGCAACAGGTGTTAAATGTAAACATTTTTGTGACATTAAGCAATGAAATGAGCACTCAACCCTCTTATCAACAGATTAACACCATCGTAACTTGTTTGAATACATTTTTGGCTTTAAGATTTTTAATTATTTCATTTTGTCCTCCCTATGCAAAGCAACAAAGAACTATGCATTCAGTTCCATGCGATAGTTGAAAAATGCATCACAATTCATAAAGGGTTTATTTTATCCCTGCAATGCACCAGGGAAACCACCTGCTGACATTCATAGGCATTAATCCACAGTGTCTATCCTTATCAACTCTGTATGAGAAGAATCTGGAACTATCCTCAATAATGGGTTGTCATGTCTCAAAACCAAGTTCACACCCTTAGACCAGTTTTATAAATCTATCTTTATGCGCTGCATTCGAATATGTACAACACATCAACTCCTGGCATTTTTGGGGTGATGGTGTTGTTTTAAATCCTAAAAGCTTGTTCCTGAAGCCATTAAAAATTCCTGAAAATCTTACTTATCTTCCCCCAATATGCCTGCAGATGCCATTATAACCTGCTCTATCTTCAAGGCTTTTGTTAGTTGACAGTACAATTTTAGGTAACTTTGATTAGAAGTCTTCCATGTTAAGAGTACTATAAGCATGCCTATACAAATAGTACAAAGAAAGAAAATACGTGCACTTAAAATCTAAAACTGTGATATAAAAGTACCTGAACAAAGTAGTTCTTTATTTTAACTTTAGCTAAAACAAAATACATTAAATTCAACTTGCATAAGGTTTTGAAGAAAACAAATGCATAACACAATAGCACAGCAGAGAAACACAGAACGTACAGCTTGATTTATATTGATGAGACTGCAAATGACAAATTGAAATAACCGTGGAAGTAAATAATGTTAACGCTTATGCCTATTTCCTAAAGATATTTTTGTACAGCTTTTTTAATATTTACCATCACATAGTGAACTCCAAACACCTCCTGACATGCATTCACTGTAGCAAATGAGTTATAATCGTAGTGCTCACTGTAGTATACACTGTAGTGAACAAGATACTACAGTACTCTAAAAAGCTTCAGTTCAGGCATTGTCTAGGAATTACATTCAGCAAACATCTAAAATGTTTTTAAAGAGGTATTAGCTATGTTGGGATCTTTTCTTAAACAAAAAATGAATCAAAACCAGAACTACTGTATAATGTTCTTGTAGTGCAATTACACAGGAGGAAGAACCAGTACCAACAAATTCGTTAAATCTCCAAGCACTATTTCTGCAGAGAGACTTAGGAAGAGTCATTGACTGTCATTTATGGATATACATGTAGCAGCTTCAGTCAGATTTCTGTGGCAAGAAATGAAACTGTTCTGGATAGACACTTTAGACTAAAAAGCAGACTATCTTACAACATTTCTATAGGATATGGATCTCGAGTGAAGTTGATTTATACATTCTACATAATACTTAGTTATTAGTTATACAAATAATATGTATGCGTATATTTAGGAAAAGAAAGAGAACAAATACTTAAGAAAAGTGGTAAGATGCAGGCAAGAAATCAAATAATAATTTTAATCCAGAGAAGATTTTAAGTCCATGGAGATCAATATCCCATCATCAGGATGTTTAAAAGCTTGAACAGTCTAGTAATTGCACTTGCTCAGAAATTTTACACAGAAGATCAAAATCTGTGATCAATCTCTTTGAAACTCCACCAACAGCTATCAATATAACACCTTTCTAATTTATTTCATATAGTTAATTAACTCAGACATCTTTTAGTGCTTCCCATTCTCAAAACAAATCAGTGCTTATTTTAGTTGTATGACTTGCTACTTATTGAAAAAAACATTTATTATTTATTTTCCTGATCAGTTTTATATTTACTATAGAAAAAAACTTTTACAAGGGAAAAACCTTTAAAAAAGATTCAGTGATGACCCAGTCCTCTCACTTTTTTTCTTTACATCCGAACTGAGCTCAAATCGTAAGTTAAGAAATTTTGCTTTATCTGAACCTAGAAGATAATATTGCATAAACCTTTATCCTGCAGAAACAGCCACTGGGGATGACCCACTATAAACCAAACAAAACATCCTACCCCATTTAGTAACTCCTCCAAAAAGGACAGACAACTTTTCAGGTTGCTACAGTGGCTTTTCAACTAAAACAGTTTGAGCTGGCTTACCAACCTCCTTTATGTTGTCAACTTGGCACAGACTCTGCCACCACAAGTTACCAGAAAGCTGACTTCCATGCTTATACATATTGTCTTTGAACACCATCCGCATAACATTTCATGGAAATTGAAATACAAAAAATTTTTTAAATTGATAGTTTATAGGGAATGCATTTATTTTTTGTACATATAAAGGCACTCGGTGTTTCTCCAAGAGAAAGAAAGAGCTTAACAAACGGTATATCCAGTTAAACTGACCTTTTGGAGTCTTCTAGTTTTTCTTAACCCCCCATTGTGCTTATTCTTTTGTTCATTAAAGACTTTGCAAGAGCCATCAGTAACATGACACTCTGAAACTTCATTTTCATCACCTAGAAACCAAATTTAGAAACTTGACATGAAAAATGCAATCTTGTGAAATGAAACTGTCACTAATTATTTTATCATAGTACTAGCACACAGTGCTCTGTACAATTAAGATACCTAAGTTAACAATTTGTACCAGTTATTTTCCCCACTGTATTTCAGTTACAGAAAAAAGAATGACACTCAAGCATCTGACTTCAACTTTCAGTATCTGATCTTGTAAATAAACTGGTTGTAAACCTCACAATTTCAAATATTAACCTGAAGTAGAGAATCTGCTAAATTGCATTCTATTTATCACAAAATCTGCAATTTCTTTGAATACAAAGGTATTATTTATAAAAAGACACCATCCATAAGAATATACTCTAATGTGGCTGTCAAAAGGCAGCATTTTTCATCACCTATTTTGTGAATTAACATATATTTAATTATTCAGCATTGTCAAGATGACTTTTATAAGTCCTAAATAATAAACCTGAAAATCATTTGAGAAATTAACTTGCTTCCATAAGATGAAAAACTTTGATCTGCTTTTTGATCAATGAAGTTGTAATTACTGAAGATTTAAGTAGAGCATTTTTCCCAAATTTAATTCAGTGGGGTCTACTTTAGGATATTCGTTAATTTTTCATTTCAAAGAAATGCATGAGACCAGCTAAAAAAAAAGTATAATGATTAGTGATTAAAGTGGCCTAAATTCAGCTCCTCCTAAATATTCTGCTTCTGATTACTTCTGGAAAATATTGAAGGGTACTATCCATATTTACTAGTGTGACTGCATATATAACTAAGATTCACTTGTTTTTCCTCTGTCAGCTACTTAAACTCTTAATACTTGATGTGACAGACAACAACAAATTACAACACATTTTCCATTACCTATTACTTATTTTAAAAATATAACCTTTAAACTAGTCAAAATTTCATCACTTCTTCACACTAAAGTTGCAAGTTTCACATGAATTTACACAGTATTACAGTAAATTTTGTGTAATAAAAGTACACCTGTTTTTCAGGTACAATCATTAATTTAAATCCAATATTTAAATATGAAGTGTAATTTAACAAAGGGAGAACTAATTACTTAATTATGTTAATTTTATTCAAAGTTGCACTGAGGCCCATCATCTTCAATTACAGAGTAATACTAATGGCAAGCAGAAGAGGAGAAAAGATCTTGCCACACAATTAAAAAAGCTAATAAATTTAAATTTAACTCCTTTTACTTGGAAAACAGAATTTTTAAACATGTATTTTGAACCTCAAAAAAACCCCAATAACCACAGGACTGCAAAGGATGTCAGTAGATCATCTACTCTATTGCTTTATCCCAAGCAGATTGGGGTCTCAATTTCCAGTAAGTCATTTCAGTCACTGTAAAAGGACCACCCAGTGGTTTTTTTTGGAGGGGTGGCTTGGGAGGGGCAGTGAGAAGTGGTGTAATATTCCTTTTGCCACTATTGGCCTGAACGCTCAAGCTCCGCAGCTCTTGTCCCACTTGGAATTAAAGACTCAAGACCTGTATGCTTGAACCTCTTTCCAGTTCTGTTTCACTCTCACTGGTTCTTCATTTTTACAGGAAAGTAGGAACAGGGAACGAGATCCATCACCTCCTCCGATTATCATTTTTGGGGATCTTATGCATTACATAAATAAGGACTATTCTTTAAAATCCAGTTCCTAGTACTTCTATCAGGACTTCTCAAACACTTTGCAGATTTTCCATCCTGTAGGTCTCAAACTTCACTGTCTATTTCCTTGATTGCTTCTTTTTAAAGCAGTTGCTTGGTCACAAGTAGGGAGTTTTCATCTTTAGTAGCTTTTCCTAGGTTATTTCAGATCAAGTTGACAGAATTTTTTGAAGCAATTCTACCCACTGTTAGTTATCCCTAAATATAATTAAAATATGCAGCTAACACGACACTGTAGTCCATTAGATCCTCTAAATCCTCTTCTAAAACACTGATCAATGACTGGCATCAATATCAGCAACTCTAATAGCTCTCTGAAGTATTGTAACAAATTAGAGTGAGTTTAATTTGCAATTTAAGCTTCTACTGATTCATGATCATTTATCAGCAATGAGTTTTGAACCAGAATATTATCTTCAAAGTTGCAGTTGGTATTTCCTTCAAATTAAAAAGCAAAGTAATCATTAGGCACAATGAGCTAGCTTTTGTTCAAAGAAATCATGTCTGTCTAATAAAAATTTTATCTATACTATAGTGTGCTACTTCAAGCATATCATAACAGAGTGTAACTGAAATTAAGCTATATCATATCTGCTATTTTGTACCTACCCACACAGTTAGTCACCCCAATTATGAAGGAAATAAGTCTGAATTTGTCATCATTAGTAATCCTTCTGGTGTATATGCACTGAGTATTTATTAACTTTTGTTAGTATTGTAGTTCTTATTCCAGCATAAGCAAATACCAAGTTTTTGGTATTCAGAACACAATTTATTCAATTCTTCTGAGAGCTTATGTGCCCACTACGTTCTCAAAGAGAATCTGGTAATGGTTAAAATAATTTTATCTATTTTTGTTATGTGCTCTTGGACAAGTGTCATCAAGCCTTGTAAAATTGACTACATCACAATAAACCTCAACCTGTTCCTCTATTCAGAAGTATTTGTCCTTTTTTGTTTTAATAATTAGTTACAAATAAACTTTCTGTTAAGATAAATAAAACCAGGAATCAAGCAAGAAATACTTTCCTTCATCCCTCATTTGTTTTTTAAAAGGACATAAAATGTCAAAAGAGGACATTATACAGTATTTTTACTATGCTTATCTTCTAAAACTGAAGAAAAAAAGGCACATAAAATCTAAGGAAATTTTCACATACATGTTTTTAAAGACATTATAGCAGTACTAAGCACCTAGAACCTCAGGTAAAACTCATTCATCTAAGTTAAACTTGATCATTTTTGCACCAAATAACAGAATGATATTCCAAGATTCCCCATCATAACCTTGAACTACATTAATGACACTATAATGAGTCCTAGTTTATGTCTTTTGGCCAACTAAAATAATATTTGCTTCCCACATTCACCATAAATATCTAAAATTCACTCAGCTAAGCCTTAAGTTTATTTGTTATGACTGGAAAAAATGCTAAGTCCCAGTTCAAATTGCTAAATTATTTTAGGATTATAAACGCTTAAAAGAGCATACTCTTGCATTCCTTGCCCAATATTATTTATTGTCATAGTAATTAATCAAATCTGAGCAAGTATTTGCATTCTAAATCATGTGGTTCAAGTGCCAATTTACCCTACCATCAGCCCTACTAAAAAAAGTCATAAGTAGATGGACTGGATTTCAAAGTAGAGCAATTTACAACATGAATGACAAAATATTCTTATATTCTCCTAGTAATATAGATCAAGAACTTTCACAAGGCAGTATTACTGCATTACTGTAAACTTACATTCATGACAAAGAAAAGCCCTCATTTTCTCACTTTGTAACTGCTAAAACTTTAGGCACTGACACACAAAACCCAGTTACACAGCACTTACTGATTACAGAGCACTGAAATTTATCAGGTCTGGTTGGTTTAATTAATTTCAACTCACCTCTGGTAGTTCTCTATTCTCTACTTGATTCATTATTTGGAGTAAGATGAAAATAAGTAGCCACGTTTATGCCTGTGCTGTTCAGCAGAACAACTGGACAGCCTTGAGTGTACCTTACAAAGGAACCTGAAGTTTACTACAACGTAAGCATTAGGACTTGAAAACTTAGTTTCAGATTAGCCTGCATATTAAGTAGCACTACTTTAAAATCAAATGTTGCAAGGAGCCTGTAAAAAGGAAGCTCAAAATCCTACTTCTTGTCATTAAAGACACTGTGTAAGAGTAACACTGATCTAAATACACAAGGAAAAAAACGGTCAGGAAAAAAGTTTGACACTTAAAATATATACAGATATAATTAAATTTTATATGGATATTTGATTGCTCCTAACTGTATGAGGAGTAAAAAGAATTACTTAGCTTTTAAAAATAACATACTGTATTCACCAGTTTTCAAATCACATAGAACATACAGAAACATAAAGCAATTTAGTATTTATTAACTAATTAACAAGGACAAGAAATAACTTACATTCAAGTAAAAAAAAAAAAGGAAATACTAAACCTATATTTAATAACAATCAATTATTCCATCATACAGTGTCACAGTAGTAAGTTTAAAACAAGATTTTCATTTTCCTCCACAGAACTTCCATTATTAGGGAAAATACAACTCATCTTTCATTCCTGATTCCTTCAAATTTTAAGTGAGCTCATTTGAGCTGTCAAACTTGAAGTTCTGCTTGAGTATACAACAGATGCATGAAGCTGAATACATCATACTTGTGAAAATGCCTATCACTGGTAAATCACAACTACAACTGAAATCACTAGAAACACAAGTTAAGACTTACAAAAGTTTCTAAAAAAAATAATAAAAATATAAACATCAGATAACTTCTGTTTGCTGGATACTGTTCCTTTTTCCTCTCATCCAAAATCTGTTATCTTAAACAAGTCGTCCAGTGAGAAAATCAAAACATAACATGTTAGAACATTGATCACAGTTTAATCACTAGAATTTAGAAGTTAGAATTAACTCTAAAATTAACTGGCACAGCTAAGTTTAAAGGTAGTAAACATTTTCTCCTTCCCCATTTGTTTTCATGATTGTTTAATGAAAAACACACTGTTCTTTGGCATTAAGAAATACATCTTTTAGTACACTGCCACATGGTGAAAAACACATACAGTGGATTCATACATTTATGAGTGTACATTTATACTTGTATAAGATACACCTGCACCAACTTTTTTTTTTTTTTTCTCCTAACTGTGTTATAATGATGCATTACAAGTATTAAAACACAGATGTAGTGAACCCAAAATCATGGAATCATAAAATGGTTTGGGTTGGAAGGGACCTTTGAAGATCATCTAGTCCAATCCTCTTGCACTGAGCAGTGACATCTTCAACTAGATCAGTTTGCTCAGAGCCCCATCCAGTTTGACCTTGAATGTTTCCAGGGATGGGGCTTCTACCGCCTCTCTGGGCAACCTGTGCCAGTGTTTCACCACCTGCACTGTAAAAAATTTCTTCCTTATAACTAATCTAAATCTACCAGCTCACAGTTCAGCAACTGATTACCTCCAGATAAAAGCACAGTCACCATTCAACATTTCCACTGGATGATTTCATAAGTCTGATAGCAAGTTTGTTGAGCCCTTTAAGTTAATAATTAATTTTGTAAAATTCATTGATGCACTGCTGCAGAATTTTCTAGGGAAAACAAATGACTAAGATATAAAATTATACTTATAAATATTTAACCCTACATAAAGCGTGACAAACAGAACTTAAAATGCCAAGATCTGAAAGTGATTACTCCAATGCAAGCTAGATTCAATATTCTAGTATACATTTACATTGAAATAACTTAGGCTAAACAAACTTCAAAATGCTCAAATATAAAAAAAATACTTTTAAAATTATTATTAAAAACTAAGATCAGTTCCATACAAAAAAGCCATGGTTGAAAAAGACGTTTACATTGCAACTCTTGCACATGACCTCGAATGTCTTATTCAATCTTCATCATAGCACAAATTAGAAATTGCTAACTTGCATTTTTTTTCCACTAGAGATGTTATGTCCTTATGTCCTTAACTGCAACTAATCTAAAGTAGCAATTTTAAGTTATGAAATAAAAATTTTCTAGGGATAGAAAATTTGAGCAAGAGACCCTACAATGAGGAGTTACTTACAAACAACTTACAGGAGCACCATAACATTTAAACCAGAAAGACCTTGATTTCTTAAACAGATTTTGAATAGCAGCAGAAAGTTTACAGAATATCAAGCATTAGGGCAAAAGAAGGCTCACATACTTCTGTTGCATTTTGTGAGCAGTTCCCTTATCTCTTGGTGACTTCTTTATGTTTGTAACGTATGGGAAAACAAACAGGTGTTCTTTTGGATCCTATGCCCTCATCTATTTTACTCAAAAATAAAGTCAGTACTGCAGCATTTTCTTCTTTTGCTGTTATTCTGATATATTTTTCCCTTGGGAATGGCAGTTCATTTTGCAATTTGGCTGCATGAGTATATCTAATACGATATCTTTTCATTTTCCAGCTCTATGTAGTGACTTACCAGTAGTGTGAGTACGGTAATTCATACTGGTTCTGTAGGATTTTTCATAAGCATGCTGAGGCAGCCTATTCACATCATCAGAACCTAGAGCTTCTGCAGGGTCGGCCTTTTCACCATCTGATGTATAATTTAATGGCACACTTCCAGGATGTTCAGCTGGTTTGATGTTTTTCTTTACTGAAACTGCATTTTCTAGAATTGACTCTTTCCTACTTTTCTTGGAAGTATTAAATGGCTTAGAGAAACTCACATCAAGTGAGCCCATGCTTGTAAAAGAGTTTTTGCAACAAACTTTAGGAGGATTCTGTGATTCCTTTTGTACTTGTACCTGTACTTCATTTTCATTCAAATTATATGATGAAAAGAAGTCTTCATAAGAATCCTCTTCATCACAAGAAGACTTGTTATATATAGTAACTGCTTGCAAGAACTCTTGAGATTCTGATGCACCCAGTTCTGAGGTAGCCAGTTTCAAACTAGGTCGTGTTTGTAGTTTCTTCTTCTTTTTGTGTTCAAGAATACAATCATTTCTGTCAACATGGAAACTTCTATCCAATGAACATGTATTTAAGTCTTCACTGTTCATAGGTGAATTAGAGATACTGTCAAACAAAGCAGGAACAGTCTTTAACTTGATTATTGTTTCTGAAGCAGTAATATGACCCAAGCCCTTGATTTGGAGATGAGAACTTTCATTTGCAACTGAATTAGTCATGCTGTTTTCAGCCTTCTGATTTTTCTTCAGAAAGTCTTTTATATCTTTCTTTTCTAAAGACAGTTTATCATCCAAAGTGTGCTGCAAAATCCGTTTCTTTCCTAAGTGTCTTCTGATGTGTTGTTCTGTTGTTAAGCTCTTCCGCTCATAGCTATGTGAGGGAGAATTCACTGATGCATTCATGGATATATTAATATCAGTCCAAGTATCGCAGGCGTGTTTTATTACCTCCGTTTTCTGTCTTTTTACTTTATCAGGTCCCCAAAGATAATAACTTGAGTTCAAGCAGTCTTCTGTTTGTTCTCCTGCAAAATATGAAAAGTGGCAATATAAATGTTTTTAAAAAAACAGAAAGAGTACAAATTTCTTAGTAAAATACATGTGAAATTAGTGAAAGAAGAAAACAAGGATTTAGCCACTTGTCTGGATATGATATGGCAAGTCATCAAAAACTAAACAGAAAACAGAATAGAAACAAAGCACATTCTATGTTGACAAGAAGCTACAATAGCTTTAGCTATCATATCTCGTAATGCTGGAGGGACATACTCAAGGTAAAGCTCTCAAATCACAATGTTCAACCTCATCAGCACACAACTAATTTACCAAAATAAAAAAGTTTGTTGGCACAGCTATGCTACTTGCAGTATTAAGCTATTACTTCTCCCTAACATTGCATGAAGACATACCAAGCCGTCTCAGGCTACAAGATACCGCCCTTGCTCTCATGTAAGCCAGCATGAGAGAATTCCTGTATGAAATCAACAAAATATAACACTGGAAAACAGCATGTGGTATAGCTTATTGTTGGTGTAGAAGGGAGAGTAGGCAGACTGCTCAAGTGTCACTGATGAATTCTAAAGACTGTCTTCTCCTTACTTTTCTACGGAGATCAAACATCAGCATCTGACTTCAGCTTTTTGCTCATGTGACTGACAGAAGACATGAGGTCTGAAGTACATACCCATTGCATACATGATTAATGCTGTTAAGATGCCCACTGATGTAGCTCAATAGCCTTCACAATCATCATCTCCCTTCCATCCTGCTATTGTGACAAAACACAGGAACAAACCCCTAACTTCATGAGAATAAGAACCATGGTAACAAATGACTTGAATTTATCTGCAACCATACAACATTTTAAAAGCTGATTTATTTTTACTCTTGTTACTTCGATCCCTGAATACTTAAGCTGGAGAACACATTAGGTTTCCTTTCAAAATCAAGTTTTTCAGTTGAAAATTTGGAAGACATTTCCAAAGGCGTCTCTCTCATTCAGGTCTCTATTTTGCTTCCCACATCATGCTGTTTAGTGTGCACTCTGTATTCTACACAAGATCACTGTAAGAGCAGAGAAGACTGACACCATGGCAGGACAAGAAGTCCTTAATAGGGAATACTGGGAGAAAAGAGGAAGTGAGGCAAGCAACACAGCAGTAAGGCAGAGCATTTACCCAATGAGATGCCTCATTTGCTCCATTTTCCTTGAATTCTTACTTCTATGTATTCTGCTACTTAAGAAAAACTAAAATAATTCAGCTTTAAATATGAATGATAGAGCAAAGAAATACAGTTCCCCTTTCAGTAAACCATACTTTCCAAACTAAGGAATACAGGCCATATATTATTTTTAATTTCTGCAATATATGAAGTTGTATTAGTTACCTGCTAGCGATGCATCTTCTGAATTAGTTAAGACACATGTAGAGAGTGGGCAGTCTCCTGGTGAACTGCTTGGAGGTATTTGAGACATTTGTGAAGCTAGAAATTTGTAAATAATAAATTAGTTAGCCCTATTTACAAACATACAGATTTCCACACCATCTACTCTTATTTCAAAATAGCTCAGCTTTAAGAGACAAGTCATTTCTTTCTCAACTAACTATAATCATATAAATAATTATAGACTGTTCAACAGTATCTCAAACTTACATACTAACAAAAAAGTTTAGATATTCTACAATTTTAAGTTTTTTTCTAGATAACTCGGCACCAAATTTTTCTGAATCTAAAGAATGATGGCAAACCATTTAGAAAATATTATAGACATTTCTAAGACATATTTTAATAAAGAATCTGTCAAATTCTGCAACTAGTAGCAAAGCCTTGATAGAGCAGAAATGCTTTTCAAAATGTTTGAAGGTATTATCTTGAAACTTAAAGACAAAACAAATACACGCCATGCTAAAATAAATGAGATTTAATTTTTCATCCATGTATCACTGTTTCTTTACTTTCCTCCCACAATTATTTTTGAAACTGTAAAGATGGTCTAGTTGACACAGCCTTCTTAAAACTTCAAATACTACAGATTTCGCCCCCCTCAAAAGATGCTCCCCAACTGAGCAGTTTTTATAATAACTGACAAAACACAATGACTTAGACCTCAACACTTTCACAGTAAGGTAATGCAAACACTAAAAAACTATTTGACAACTGCAATCTAGATTTAACTCACCAGGATCTCCATTTTAAAGTCAACTAGATTTATTTAATTAGGTCATTCAAATTTATTTATTTTTTAAAATTCTGTTCTTTAGTACCGGGGTAGATGTCTCATTAGTTTTGGACTCCTTTTTAAACCACTGGTGTGGGAGTAATAACATTACAGTCTTTGTCAAGCACAGCATTCACATCAAAATTTAACAGGAAATAAGATTTAGACTCTTGCTGTAAAGTTTAACCAAGTTGTGATAATATCAATTTATATGTTTAGAAAGTCTAGCTTAAACATTAGTCCTTTTGAACAGCCTAGTGATTAATAAATTCCTTTTTGCACTCGTTGTCTTCATGACTTCTTGGGCCTTTTAACAGAAAGAAACTAAAAGCTAAAGCATTCGCACCTACTCAAAACCTGGGAAGAAGGGAGGACATGCAATTAAGTAAGAACGGAAAAAATTTCTAAAGGCCAGAAGCAAGACAAGTGCACAAAACATTCAGCAGTAAAGATGGTAGTAATTTGTGCATGTTCATGGATAAGTAAAATTTACTTCTTACCAGTAGGAGAAATATTTTCTCTTTTTTCCTTCATCTCCTTTATTCTTCTTTCCATTGCACTGCATTGATTTTTTATCTTATTAACAGGACTGTATACAAGTGAACCGCTGTCTTCAAATAGTAAAACTGGCACATCAGTTTCTGTACAAAGAAATTGCATTTGTACATTAATACTTACACGCTGTAACAGCTTCAGATGCAGTTTCATTGAAAAAAAATAAAAAAAGAAACAAAGAACAAAATCAGATTCCTTATACCTGACCACTAGATGCCTTAATATCACAAACTTGCCAAGAACTCTATTTCTTTGAGATGCATATAAAAGTAAAAAAAAAAACAAACAAAAAAACAAACCCAAAAACCAAGACCCAGTAAGTGCTTTAAAGAAATAACTTAAAATATTTTAAATATTTTAATCTTAGTCCAAAGTAGTTCTTACCAGCATGAATTGCTATCTTTTGTACAGCTAATTCTTTAGCCATCTGGTTCAGTCTTCTCTGCAGCTTTCTATCATTTTCTGGAGTTTTTTCCACGAAGTCTTTTGGCTGCATACATTTGTGCTACAAAACACACAAAACAATTAATTATAAGGTATAAATCTGTCAGAAGTAACTACACTTCCTATTTGCCTACCACTTTATCACAGTATTTATTACCAATGTTTAACTCTATGCTACTTTTTATCACCTCCTTGAGAGTCACAGATAATTTAGAAAGTAATGTTTTCCAGAGTGAAATAAGAAAGAACCTAACATGGGGGTTTTTTTATGTTATATTTTAGTAAAAACGAGACTAGGGCATCATCTTTTCTTTTTTTACTTGTAGCAAAGCTAAGGCTTAAAAAATTTTTTTTGAATACCAGAATTTTAGGATTTGTTGCAATTCAGTGAAATACAAGCCACACTACAGCCACAGTTTTTTGATTAGTTAATAATAATGTAATTTTAATTTATATCTTTATTTCTTTATTCACCAATATAGAAACTCTACTTTTATTATTCTTTCTTCAGATAAGATGTCACATGATCACAGCCATAGCATACTTTTAAAAACCAACTCAGATAGACAGGTAGAGTTTACAGTGTTCTGAAAATAAACAGTTCAAATGCTTGGGGTCAGGAAGCCAAGTTCAAACTTTAAAGTTTACAACTCTAGGCCTATGAAAAAAGAAAATAAAATTAGATACTCACTTTTTTGATCCGTAGTGGTAACTCTTCATTAGTGTCTACTGCAGGAAATAAGGATTCATCAACACGCACTCCAGTTTCTTGACACCTGTATAATAAATTAAAGCAAGTGGGGTTTTTTGCTTGTTTGTTTAAGAATTAGAACCTTTTTTGCAAAAAGGGTTGTCTGAGCGCTATAATAAAGCAACACCAACCCTTTCTAAGTGTGCAACGTTAGCATAACTACCGTAATGCTAAGAAAATAAAAAATCCTATATATAACACACTAAATATAGGATGATACATTTTTTTTTGTCCTAATGATGCTCTCAGAAACTCAAAGATTCCCATTCATATTGTTTTCCATGTATTCAAAAAAATCACTGCATCTCATGAACCTCAAATCTTGCCCTGATTTTTGTGAGGACTGCAGGCTTTCATTGTTCACTAGCCAGTGAACTTAACCTTAACTTGCTCTCTGTGATGACAGTAAACTCCCAACTACAAGGTAAAGAATGTCATAGTGGGGGCAGGAAATATTTCTATTCAGACAAGAGGAAGGAGGCTTCATCTGATCCTTACCCATTAGTCTCAGTTTTCTGTCTTTGTATATGCAATTCTAAAACCAGCCTCTTATTGAGGAGCAATCTATATTTATGCAAACTTTTTTTAATTACAAAGCCAAAAATCCAACTGATACCTTATCCCTAGTTTTTCCTGTCTTCATATTCAAAGACTGACTTGAGAACAGTGGGACTAATGCTATCTTGGAATACAAGATACAACTTGTATCTTGATACAATCCTCTGTATTTGTGAACACTAAGGACGATGTTAATAATTTGGTTATTAATACATAAATTAAAGTTCTTTTGATCAAAATAGGTAAATACAGTTTTATCCTCAAACAATAAATCATAAAATCAATTATGGAAAAGAGTATGGAACCTTAATAGACTACACCAGAATCCCCATAGAAGTCATTCAAAACTGTGATTCTAGTGACACCTAGTGATCTACCTGCTACAAAGTTTGTATCTGTACAATTATAATATAATGCTTACTCAGTTTTGAATAAAAACAGCCAAACCACTACATGTATTTTTCAAACTGAGTTTAGAGCTCTCTGGAGCATCAAACAGAGACGGTATTCAACGTGCTGGACTTCAGTGGCTATTATTAAATTGTGAATAATAATCAGCATGGATGTACACTACATTAAAATTTACATTAATTAGGAGATTTCATTGCTTTTAATTGAAAGAAGATAAACAGAAGAAAATCTGACCATTAAATATTTTACAAGAATTTTTTACTTTGCAGACAAATCTGGATGTAAATGATTTCTCTCTCATTTGTGCCAAGCATGAGTTACCATACTAAGAATATACAGGTGGAGTTTCCCAGTTATGGGTTTGATTTGTAACTATTAAATATTCTTAATTTGGACACAGATTGTAGCAATTCTATCTTATGTAGGGTTCTTTTTGGTTTTGGGTTTTCATTTTTTTAAGTTGCTTATTGAGGTATTTCAGTTGAAGAAGCACTAAAAAAAATTTGTTTCAGTGATCCTAAAGCTGTCACTCATTTTGCATTAAATTTACAATTTATTTGCATGAATCTTGCAGCAAGTCCATGATTTATGCGCTATTTTTAAAGTTAGCCACACCTACTGTTCTTAGAAAACAAAAAAGGAAACAAAACTTTTTTTTAAATTAAAAATACAGTTACTCTGGTGTTATGAATTTTTTTGAATTTTAATTGTCATCTTATTTTAAAGAGCTTACTTCCTGTTAAACTACAGACCTGCATTCAGTTTAAATTCAAACAGATGCTCATACTACAAAGCAGAAGCTTTCAATACAAATTTGAGGCAGATCATTTAAGAGAGCACTGGAAACTAGTAAGAGTTTAACAAGGCAGTGCTCACTAAATATTACACAAACCCTTGTACTCTAATAATTTATCCATAAAAAACCAACACAAAAGTGAGTATTATAGTATTTTTTAAATCACAGAGCTGATTTAAGAAATCAGCTCTGTGATTTAAAAAATCAGCTCTGTTTGAACCTCTAAGAGGTTCAAACACTGCTCAAGGGAAGAAAACACTAGTGTACAAATGTAACAGTTTGGAAGTAGGGGTCCACTAGTTAAGTGGGAGAGTATTTGGCACAAAACAGGATAATCGGGAAATGCTGGAGTAACTGTTTATGACTTGCTTCCTTGCCTGGTGTTTTCAGAGCTCAAACATCAAAAAGGAGCACCCAGAGTAAATACTATATACTGCAGCATCCTATTTCCAATATCAAGATCCCCAAATGCATGTAAAAACATGAAAACACAGCCAAACATTCCCAGTTTAATTTGTCATGTTCCATCAATGTCTGGTTTACATGGTCAGACGCAATGTGGTTTTTGATAAAACAAAATGTTTAATTGCTTCAGCATTTTTTTAAACCCAGGCAAACCTTTGCTGACTACAATTCTGCAACAAGGGAGTTCTAGAGCATAACCATGTTTTGCTAAAATACACCATGTACTATTTTCCCTGAATCTGCTTCCAGACAGATTCATGTGATGCTTTCCAATTCTTCTACCAGAAAGGAAAATACACTTTCACTCCCTACTCAGCCTCCCCCTATGAACCTTTGTGCTCACTGGAGTCCCTCCCCCTCTACTCCCACTGCTTTTCCAGGCTGAAGAATTCTTGTCTCTTCAATCACATCTTGTGCGAAAACTATTTTATACCTTCAGTCATGCTTGCTGCCATCATCTCGCAACATTCTATGATAAAAAGCCGTCATTGAAACATTTAGTTTACGTCCCAAAATCTTAATTTTCCCCTCACACAATGTGATGACCACCCTCCTTCTGATGCACTTAAGAGGATTTACTCTTTAAAATTCTTGCTGGTGTCAAGGAGACTATTTATTTCCTTCACTGTCTTAATGACAGCGAAGGAAATGACAGACTCCTTTTAAGGAGTCTACTTAAAATGCACTTCTTTCATTTTATGTAGACTCCTTTTTCCAAGTTGAACGCTGTCACAAAACTTCTTGGGTTTTGCTGTTCCAGTATGAACACTGGTTTTATACTGTGGCCATACTTACAAGAAGGTTCTTTGAAATAATTCGAACAACCATCCACAAACCAATTAAGACCAAGTAATACCCAAAATATTTGTATTCACACTGCACTCCAACAGGAGTCACCCAATCTGCAGTGTACACTAGGAAGTTGCTCTTTACTATTAAATTTCCTGAAATGATATTTCACAGCATTTCTGACCATTCTAATAACGTTCCACTTGCTACTGAATGGATCAGCTGGTTAATCAAGAAATCTATTTTTAGTAATGCTGAAACTTCAGCCCACATGAGCTCTGCATTACTTCCTTACACAGTCAGCAGCTTCAAACTATGCTTCCTTTCATACAGGACCACTATTTTACTGGCACAAGCTACCCAGTCTTTCCTGTTTACATTGTCCTAGGGTTCAAGAGACCATCTTCTGCCTACCAAATTTCTGAGATATTGATATACTAGGCATATAATTTAAAGTCAGGCACTCCAGTTCCCTCATCTTATTACAAAACAATGTAGGATGTATGCTAGCACAGACTCATTTAGTTTTGTAGATTTGTTTAGACTCATTTGTTTTTGTAGATTTAGTTTGTGATTTGTTTGAATAACTCTGTGACTAGTGAGATTATGTATTATTATCTCTTAGGTAAAGATGCAAATATGCTCCTGACCTATACATTGCTCAAGAATACAATATTCCTATGAATGCTGCCTAGAGTATACATCAATCTAAGCTGTATGTTCTTGTGCACCTTTTGGCATTAACTTTAAACTAAAAGGCGGAAGAAAAAGATTACAGAGAAGTTCAATCATAATTTACAGTCTGGGTGTCCCACCCCCATTCCTCACCCCGTTGCCATAAAATACATTTCTCTATTTCACATAATTTTCTCAGTTCCAACAAACCTAATCTTCTAAGTCATGTAGTAAGAACTTGCTTTGTCCAGACCATGATACTAGGAATACTTCAAAAAATACCAGGAAGATGCTAGCCACCTCTTTTCTCCCAAATAGCTTAAGTTTTCCCTCCAGCTTCTTCCATCTTTTTTTCCTTATGGTAGTTGAGAATCTTCAAGCAGTGCTGTTCTGAACCTGCCAAATGTCTTAAAGCCAGACTACATATGGATCTTTTCCTTTCTTGCTAGGAGATAATTCTGGCTACAGGAGTTAAGTGCAGAAACAGTACAATGGCCCTGATGAAATGTGCTTTTTCGTATTAAAATGGAAGAATTCTATTCAACATAAATATCTGGTCTTACTGCCCATGCATGTCATCTGAGAGCAAAGGAGTGGAATACCGAATGGTTAACAAATACACTATGTAACTACTTCAACTTATTCATGTTTCAAGAGTTAACATTTTACCTTTTTATGCAAGTAATATGCTTTACAATAGGAATAATGTCATAGGAAAGTTATGATTTACACTGAGATTTATCACTATCCCAAGTATGTTAAAAAACCAGGTACTGTACTTAAGTTTTAAAATATAACAATAATAGAATCCATTATTTCTGGAATGAGCTACTTTCATTACATTATTGAGTACTCACTTCTCCACCCAAAGTACAGAAACTATTTTTACACCCATCTTCTGTGCTTTTCTCCATGTAGCCAAACGTCCATCTTTGAAGACTACATGGGTCACATGCTTGTTCAAAGTTTTTGAAACCTGCAGAAATACAGACAACTTATATGTAAATCAGATATTCAGAAAATGTTAATGAAACTAGTGATCATAGACCATTTTTAATGTATAAACCATTAGTGTTAAAACTTATTCTAAACATTATGTCAAGGACTCTTGATCTTTCCCATCTTCGCAAGAACCCTCAAGCAATCAAAACTCAAGGCTCATTAATCAAGCCCATGCAACGCATGCTAGAGGGCTAGAGTAGCCTTTTGTTTTCAAACTTCTTTTCTTGAGGTTACCATTTTCATCTCCCTGCTCCAGCTGTATCACTAAACTTACAACATTTTTCTTTATGTAGCCCAACATTATTTCTTATGCAACAGCCAGTACAGAAAGTAGTTGCCACTATCCAAAGAAATGCCAAATTACATTTTTTATTTAGTAAAGAACTCACAGGCTTAAATGGCACAGCTAATCTCATCCTTTAAACTAATTCTCATCAATACCTTCAGTTTTGAGGGAAGGTTGAAGGTATTACAAACAAAAAAAATTATATGGGAACACTTTAAAAAGTGAGAAATACAGAAAACTTAAGTCAGTACCGCTCATATTACACCTGACATTTTCATTGTGTTGTACAACTGATCAAATTCTCAGTTATCAGCCTCTATTGAAAACTAAGTGATAAATTTTTGAGTTTTAGATACTCCATTCTTCACAACCAAAGTTTCCTTTTGTGAAGACTAAACATCCTATGCGTAAAACTTTCACCAGTTCTGACTGTTGATATGGTGAGATCAGTACAATTAATATTTTACAGCAGCATCTTCTCTGCACAGTCAAATGGAAATAACTTTGTAGCTTTCTCTTGTGCTCTCAATTGCATCACTATACTGGGCTCCCAACATGTTGAATCTATATTTGGCTTTAAGAAAACTATTCAGCTTTTCCAAAAATGTATGGTGGCAAGCTGATTTATTACTTCTCAGAAGACAAAAACCCATTATATTGAAGTATCTAGGTATACAGGACCAATGAATCTCTTTTGGAGTAAGTTATGACTCAATATACAACTGCTTACTTGCTTATGCTCACAGCCCATATCCTAAGGAGGCAGATGCTTAATATAGCTTTGCCTCCAGATTATGGAGGAGCACCACCTTACACCTCCCTCTCACCTCTCCTGTCTCCTCCCTTACCCTGGATGTCCTCTGCTGTTCAGCTGACCTTAGCTTCAGGTATCTGAATCCACCATCCAGTGAAAAACTGATTTAGAATTTTATTTCCTGACACAGTAAGCCAAGTCAGTTTACTATCGTGTGCTCAGCCCAACAAAAGGGAAGTAAGTGTCTGGACTCGTGAAGGGGCAGGACCACCCCTTTTCAGTCGCAGAGATCTGCTAAATAGGCTCATATGTATCATCTGCTGGTACCTTCCACCATAGCTGTCTACCTTTTGATCAACTTGAACAGTCCTGAAGCATTGTTTTTGTCATATTTTCTGTGAGAAAAACGTAACATCAGAATAGAATTACAGCGATATGATAGTACAGCACACAAGAACAAGAAATATTTCTTTCTTATTTATTGAGAGTTGTATTTGCTTTTATAATAAAAACTTATTCTACTCTTCTGCCACACTATCCAATATAAATTCATACAGAAAGAGAGGTTTTGGCAAGATGAGCAAAATTACGGTAAGATGCCCATTTAAAAAGCACCGGGAGTTCATGCACGTGTTATTTAGAGCATGATTTAGGCTGTAAAAATCTCCATTAACTAGCGATAATGTGCAAGGGAAGATACCAGTTTGACTTTGGTCTCTGGTTTAAATTTTACAGTTGGCAATTAAACATATTTTGCACCTAACAAGTGAACCATACTTGATATGGAAACAATAATACACAAAGACTCTTAAATATATTTTTACTAGGACTTTCTGGAGCTGAACCACATTTGTGGGACAGTGAATGAAAGAATAAAACATCATGGTACTTGGGTTAGAAAATATTGCAGTAACAACAGAGCAGCTGCTTACAAGTTAAAGAAAGCAAAACAATGTAAGGTACATACTTGCAAACCACAGGTTTCCAAGACTTAGATTTGGTTTGCCCACAGTAGGGGCAAACCCAATACTTCACAACAAATGTATGCTATCATATTAATATACAAAGATGTTTATAGATATAGGGAAGTTTTAAACGCATTTCTCATCTGTCACTAGCAAAAATTTTTTATAGCATAATTATCTATTCTCAGGTCTGTGATTATCTTCCTTTAAAAACTCATGCTACAAAGAAGTACACATGACGAGCAGAACAGGCAAGCTAGTTTGTAATTAAGAGCTTTCCTATTCTATTTCTTTCAAAACAGTTTCCTTACTTTTGCTCCCAAATCAAGAAGTTGCTGTTCAAAGGTTTTTGAGTAATTTTCAGTTCTGTTAGATGACCAAACTTCTACAAAGGCAGAAATACCTGGATCAGAAGAGAGGAGACAACAGTTAATGAAGTATATACTATGCTAAAACTGGTTAAACTGCCTTTCCAACAAAATTTTGCTTTTATACATACTGCATTCAATAGCAAATACAGCTTTTAATGGCAGAGTATCAGATGTTAGCAGCAGAATGTTCTTTTTAGAGTATTTCTGTCCCTTAAATTAGTTGTAATGGAACCAACTTAGAAGTTTGACACTAGTTAAACAACTTTTCACTTGGTCTATTTAAAACAGGCTACCAGCTTAGCCAGCAATGCAGTTATGTTTACATGACTGCTTACCCTTATCATTATTTAATCAATAATTATCTCCATGTTAATAAAACATTTAAGACAAGTTGATGTAACACAAGTTGCAGAATATAATGAAATAAAGAAAATGGAATTATTCCTTCCCTAAGAAAACTCTGCAAAAATATTACTTATTTTCTAACTGACTTCAAATTATGCCTTATTTATACTGAATCATTCTAAATTAAGTATATATCACAGAGGCTAACACAATTTCATGCCAGCTCCTTTACATAACTTTAAGTACGTCATATTTAAGTAGCTTCCTTTATCAACCAGATGATCAAATCTCTTCAAGGAATGTAATCAGCCTTGGATGAGGTCTTTAAACAAACAAACCCAGATGAATAGACATGGAGGGATAAGCAAATGAAACTTGTAACAATCCCTTCAGTAACTTTACTTAGGACTGGCACTAAAGTGACCTACAGCTCCATCGGCCATGACAGTTTCCCATTTTGTATGATGAATAAGGAAAGGTCCAGAAAACTGGAGGAACGCTGGTTCACCAAAAACTTTACACAAACTGCAAGCCAGACAACTCTCAGAACTCATGAATAAAATTGAAAGCATCAATTTAAAAGAGTCATCCCTGGCAAACATTGCTCAGTTACCTTACTTACCACATAAGTCCCTCTGATTCATTATTATGTAGTGTTTACCTGTCTTCTTTCTAAATGGAAACCAGAATAGTGATCCAACAGTAGAAATACTTTAATAAAGATTAACATAAAACACCTACTTAGCCAAACCACAGGGCAAAATCTTATTATCAGTGTTACGACTTCACATACACATGGGAACTTAAGACAAGTTTGCTCCAATGTGCTTTTAACTGTGTTCATTCTACTACTGGAAATGGACAGCTTTTGCCAGAGTTGCTTTTTTTTTTGATTGCTCTATTGCGAAAAATATTGCACTTGCATTTGAAAAAACAGTGCCTTCCTCTTACAGCAAATATTTTAGAACATTCATAGTTATAATTCTCCTAGAAAAACAGGTTGAAACATTTAAGTGAAGGTGAAACTAGGAGCTTCGAGGAGCATTACTTCAAAGCTGCACGCACCTGCAACAGGATGAAAGGTATATTCTACAATAATTAGCTAATTTTAGCTAATCAAATATATTCCAACGAAAGACAAGGCACTTTGCAGTTTTGTACAGTTGATGGAAAGGAAAGAGAGGAAGGGCTTTGAGCATTTTTGAACTAGAAGAGCTCTGAGTAGAGCTTGGTTCTTGTAAAGGGCAACTTATGCCAGGCCTCGGAGAGGGCGGTGACAGCGGGGGAAAGCAGACATCGGAGGGCAACCCAGGGAGGCAGAAGCTTAGAAACAGGCATACGGAACCAGACGGGATTAAGCCGTGGCTGCCCAGGTCTGGAAGGGCCCAGGCGGGCAGGACGCGTGGCGGCAGATGGGTCGGTGGCGGCGCCGGCCCGTGCCGTACCGGGAGCCGCC